GCGGGGGGGGGGGGGGCGCCCCCCTGTGGCCGTGTGTCCCTGGAGCTCACCGATTCCCACGCTGGTTGCTGAGAGGCCTCCCGGCATGTGAATCCACGGCTGTGTGCGCTCGCACCATCGGGGCCCTGGGGTGGGACGGGCGCTCGGCAGGCAGCCGCGGCCGTGACGGTGGGTGCTACCCTGCAGGGCCGGACAGAGAGCCGCAGACGATGAGGCACATGATGATCGACTTCCTGCAGAGCCACACGGACGAAGGCAGGCCTCCCGGGTGCCCGTCTTTGAACCCCATTCGGTGGGTAGTGCTGTAAAAAGGGTGACACGCTGCAAGCTGAGTGTAATTTTGTAAAGTAGCGCCTCGCGTTAAGTGACGTGGGCACTGGTCTGCGATGGCCTTGAAAGCACTAAAAGCCTCTTTTCCTCTTAAAAGGCCCAGGGACGTTCTTTCTCTCATTGACAACAGTGGTGGCCGTTATGTGGCTGTCTTATTTGAAAGCAACAGCTCCTACGTTGGACGTGAGGTACTGTCTGCGCCTCTTCCAGTGTCGGGTCCGTGATCAGATTCCTGTGTGGCAAAAACTACGTCCGCCTGATCTGGTGTATTCTCGGAATTGGCGTTTGTGTTATTCAGCAGACGCACTGGTTACAGAGAAGACTGTTGGGGCGAGGGTCTGCCTCCAAGGGGAGAGGAGGCAGCTCCCGAGTGCAGCCTGGTCCTCTGGGTGGGGGGCCTGGTCCACCGGGGGGGGGGGCCAGGAGGGACGCACGGCAGACCTGGCCCTCGGGATTCGCATCTTCCCTGAGGGCGTTCTCTCTTTCCTAGGCGTTATTTTATTTTATTTTATTTTTTGCGGTACGCGGGCCTCTCCCTGCTGTGGCCTCTCCCGTTGCGGAGCACAGGCTCCGGACGCGCAGGCTCAGCGGCCATGGCTCACGGGCCCGGCCGCTCCGCGGCACGTGGGATCTTCCCGGACCGGGGCACGAATCCGTGTCCCCTGCATCGGCTGGCGGACTCTCAACCACTGCGCCACCAGGGAAGCCCTCCTAGGCGTTATGATCAAGATTTTTTCTTTGCCATATTCTGAACTCCCAACTTTTTTGCCAAATCCCAGGTTCTGTAAAACAGTGTTTCTGTCGTGAATCTTTGCTTTGTTATCACTTCACACATGTGGGTCTGAAGCCCTTGCCTTTGGCAAAGTCTCAGTAAAATCCAGGTGCCAGGAGCCAGGCTGGAGGACAGGGTTTCTTTACCCCGAGGTCTCCTAGGGATGAGAGAAGACACCTCACTCCGGAACTTGGCCCTGGGTGCCATGTTTCTCCCTCTCTGCTGGCCTCTCGACTGTTCTTCTGAGACTGGGGCTCTGGGAAGGAAGTGTGGTGGTCCCAGTGGGGCTTTGGCTGCCAGGCGGGTGCCGGGTTCCCGCTCTCAGCAAGGCCCCTGGTTGGGACACGGCTCTGTCGCTCCTGAGAGACAGGTGGTTCCGCACCCGACTGTCCGGATGGCACACCCGGGGCTTGCTCTTCTAGCTCCTGAGATGCCACCTGGGGGTCCCCCTGCCGCTGTCCCCCACCACTGCGCCTTCAGCCTCAGCAGCTCTGGACCAGGCAGCTCTGGAGGGAGGAACGGCCGACCGGGGACACTGTCAGCCTCCCAACGCAGGCCCCAAGGGTGGAGGGGAAGCTGGAGGCCGGGGCGCGGCCCCGGCTCGCGTGGGGCTGACCGTCCCTGTCTGACGACTGAGGGCCTTGGAGGGTGCGTGAGGAACACAGCACAGACCCCTCTGATGGTCTGCTCGGTGAGGAGGCCGTAGTTCCTGCCGTGCGACAGTCGGGGGCCTGACGGTGCCACAGGACAGGGATGTCGGTGGTCTGGCTTAGAGGGGATGAGCTGCGATGCTGTGAGAAGCTGCGTTCGTCAGCTCCGTTTCCGGAGGACCCTGCCGTCCACAGCGGAGGTGACCGTGTACTTTCTTGTTGCCCAGGTGATCTTAGACCTGATTCCCTACGAGAACATCGAGGTGAAGAGAGCGCTGGGCTGGGATAAAGCCTTTCTGCAGAAGCTCGGTGTTTCTTCTGTCCCCTCGTGTTACTTGATTTACCCAAACGGGTCCCACGGATTAGTTACCGTGTAAGTAGAGTCTGGCTTCAGGGATGTTTGTGACGCCACCGACACCCCCAGCCCCTGGGCACTCACTGGTGTGTGGGGTGGTGGGGGAGACCGGCTGCAGGCCCCGCACGGGCGCTCGCCTTGCTGACACCAGCAACACCGTCATGCAAATGCCGCTGGCCTCTGCGCCGCGTGCCTGCACACCCGTAAGATAAGCTCGGCTGAAGAGGAAGCCAGTTGAGTCGAGGCTGGGAGAGCGTCAAAGGCGGGAGGTGAGCTGCCTGCCTGGCCCCCCAGCCTCACGCCGGAGGCCCCAGGCCAGCCTCGCCCGCGGCCCCGGAGCTCTTGGCGAGGCACCGCGTGTGGACACGGCGGCGAGAAGGCGGGCGCTTTCCTCCCTCGGGGGTCCTGTCTCAGCCTCTGGGAAGTTTAGCTGGGGCACCGAGTGTGCCGCCCCCAGGAGCCTCAAGCACGCTGTAGTTCCTTGGGTGTATTTTCTATTCTTTAAAAAAAATGGAATTCAGGGTAAGCCAGGAGGTCTTACCTGGGGCGCCCGGCCCTACAGCAGACCTTCCTTGAACAAACTGCCATCTTGTTTCGGAGAAAAAAGCTCGTTTCACATTCAAAGCGTCATCTGTACAACCTCAACATAAAATGACGTTGATATTTTTACCAATAACTGCTGCGTTCTCCTTTGGGGAATGAAAATAAGCTCTGGACCCTTTGGGGGACCCCTGAGCTACCTGGGGAGGGCACAGTAATGGCCTTCACAGCCCTCCACTCCCCGCCAGTGGAGGGGCCACTCCGCAGTGCCCAGGAGCCACCGGGCTGTGAGGAGGGGCCGGGTGCTCCTTCCCCCTCCCCGCCCGACTCCGGATGCCCCACGCAGAGCTGGCAGCCTGTGGGCAGAGGATGTCGAAACCGCAGGATAAAGCTGATCTTGGCAGATGCTCAAACCAGCGTAGTACTATGATTCATTTTTGTTCGGTGGGGATGTTATGTTCCCAGGTGGGAGGCCAGCTCCCCGAGGCCTGGGCTTTGCCGCCATCCCGCCCCGCCCAAGATAACTGCAGTAGATGCCCAGAGAACGGCTGGGCTGGGTGGTGCATGTCACCCCGGACTTACAGAGGGAGGCCTGCTCTGAACCTGGGGCCACAAGGCGCCTGTGGACGGGGGCCAGGCCGCCGAAGCCCGCCTCTGAGCCCGCTTCTGCCCTCCTTTCTCGCAGCGGGAAGCCTCTCCGATTGTTTTTCTCCTCTTATTTGAAGTCATTGCCGGATGTGAGGAGGAAATCGCTTTCATTGCCTGAAAAACCAAGCAAAGAAGACAACTCTGAAGCCGTGGTTTGGAGGGAATTTGACAGGTGAGTGAAGTTGCCGGGAGTGTGTGGCTGGGGGTCCGGGGGTCACTGCAGGGCCGCTCGTTCAGAAGCCCGCCAGCCGCCTGCCGGCGCTCAGGGATTCTCCGCGTTGTCTCCCCGGGGTGGCGTCCCTCTGGGGTAGGAGCCAGCACGCGGGAATCTACGTGAAGAGAGAGGCGCCCACACTGACCTTGTAGCGTTTCCTCCCAGGTCGAAGCTGTACGTGGCTGACCTGGAATCGGGGCTGCACCACCTCCTGAGGGTGGAGCTGGCCGCCCGCAGGTCCCTGGCCGGGGCCGAGCTGAAGACACTCAAGGACTTCGTCACCGTCCTGGCCAAGGTGCATGGGCGTCTGGCCCGGGCCAGGGGCCACGGGCCACGGGCCAGCCTGGGCTTGACCACGCGACCTCGCCCATCTTCCACTCACCCAGACGCCTGCCATGTGCTCGGGGCCTGCGGGGCACAAAGCTCCTGGCCACGTGGGGGCACCTGTGCACTCGGCGGCGGGGCGGGGGGGCGGGGCGGGAACTGTGCAGGGCAGCACCGCGGTCAGAGGGCCCTGCCGGCTCGGGGCGAGCGGTGCCGGGGGAAGGCCTGAGGGCCAGCAGGATGAGCGGGGAGTGGGCAGGAGGCCTGTGCGTCGGGGGGCTGGGAGGAGAGGTGGGGAGCTGCGGGCCTCCGGGCAGGGAGACGGCCGCGGCCTGCGGTGTCGTGTCGGGTGGGCGCTGGGCAGGGGGCACGTGGTGGCTGCTGTGTCAGCTCACGTTTAGAGGGGAGCAGCTGTCGGGGTTACGTTCCTGCCAAGAACTCTTAGCTCCAGAGCTGAAAGTCCAGGCTTGTGGTATTTTTCTGGGCCCAGAGCTCCTGTGCCGGGTGGAGGTTAGAGCAGTCGGTCATCCCCCTGCCCTGGGGGTGGACCTGGGCCGCTGTTCTGTTGGCCCAGCAGCCCTGGCCGTGGCCCTCCTGCTCTCTGAGATCTCTCTGAGATAGCCCAGGCCCTAGACACGCCCCGTCCACCGTTGGTCACCTTTGGTCTTGCGCTGGCTGTGGCAGCTGCCTCCAGAGGCCGCCCTTCATAACACCTATTGTTCTCTAAGAGATAAGGAAGCTTAATTCTGAAAAGTTTCCCTTGCCACGTGTGTGCCGTCCCTGACAAGGTGCTTCAAGGTGCTTCGCAGCCAACACTTCCGCTGGTCAGGGTTTACTCACGTTGTAAGATCTTTGAAGAAACTCAGGAGGTAGAACTTACGTTTAAGGGAATAAGGAGCCACCTGATTTGTTTCAAATGAATAAATGGAAGCTGTTTAGACAGTTCTCCTCACTCTGTGCCCCGCAGAGGTCGGAGCCCCCCCCCGCCCCGCTGTCCTCGTTCCTTAAGAACGCCCCCGCCTGCCCGTCCGCATCGGGACGGGTCTTGCTGCACACGTGCCTCGCATTCTCTGTCCTCGTTCCAGTCCAGCGTCACGCTGGAGGGCTCCACACGTGGGCAGAGCCTGTGAGTCAGATCAACATAAATTATTCTGAATAACTTTTCTACCCTTTACTTAAACTTTAAACTCTGGTCAGCTGGTCACGGTGCCCTGTCACCAGCGCTGACGAGACCCAGACTTTGCAGAGTTGAAGATGCAATGCTTCTGCTCCGGCTGTTTCTGCAGCTGAGGCAGCTAGAGATCCGTCTCAGCACCGTTGTTAGCAAGGTCTCAGCCCAGGTTTCTAAGAGCTCTTTCAGCCTCGAATTTGCACATTTCATTGGCAGCATCTAATCAAAGTTCCTCACAGAAGGACTGCAGGACCGCTGGGATCCTTGCACTCGAGGCTTCCCGAGCCGACAGCGTGGCCTGAGTGTCGACGTGTAGTTAGCCAGCGATGGCACTTGTTTGCGTGGAAGCCTCAGGGGTGTGCATACCTTTTCCAGATAGTCTGACAGTCAGAGATGGCAGCGGGGGAGGCGAGGGAGTGTAAGGACAGCGGGCGGGATTAGTGTGAATTACCATGAGGAGCGTGGAATGAGTAGGCAGTGATTTCAGAAAGGCCCACAAGCCCTTGACAATGTGATAAATAAGGCCCCCCGGCGGCCGTGTGGTCTGTTGTCGTGAAGTGGCCGCCGGGCGTGAGGATGAGTGGCTGTGTCCTGGGTGCCGGGCGGCGGTGGAGCTGCAGGAATGGGGCCCAGTGCGGGCTTCCCCCTCGTCTGTGTTCTGGAGAAACTCTAGTTCCCCCAGAGACCCCCACCCCTGTTCTCCATCGGAGCCTGGGTGGACTGGAGACGCTTGCTCCCTCCAGCTGGTGGGTCCAGGGCAGGGCAGGCCCGGTCTCCGCCCCTGGGAGGCCGCGCCGTTGGGGGTGCTTCCCGACCAGTCCTTGAGTGTGGTCTTCCCTGCTCAGCTGTTCCCCGGGCGGCCGCCGGTCAGGAAGCTGCTGGAGACGCTGCAGGAGTGGCTGGCCAGCCTGCCCCTGGACAGGATCCCCTACGACGCCGTCCTCGACCTGGTCAACAACAAGATGCGGGTGAGGCAGCCCCTTCGACGAGCTTGGGGGACCCCGCACCTGCCCTCGGCTGATACGCCGCCAGTCTCTCTCCCCAGTTCTGCCGCCCGGTTTCCACGGCAACCTCCAGCTCCCTCTGCCTGGGTCTGGGACAGACAGCCGACTGAGACGATGGGGGTTTTGTCAGGCAGTGAAGCATTAGGGTTTGTTTTCTGTTTTAATTTTTAGTGAACTCGTCTAGATTTCACACTTAAAAAAGTAGTGAATAAAGGCGATGGGTCGAGCTGCCGTGCAGGCCGGGCATGCAGCCAGGGTCTTGGGCCGGCGTCTGTGGCCATGGGCTCCAGGGCGTAGGCTCCCCGGGGTCTGATTCCAGCAGCCCTGTGGGTGCCGGTTTCTAGCCTTGGCCTCTGCTCCATGGGACCTGAGCCACGTGACGGGGAAGGTGGCCGAGAGCAGGGGCTCAGACCCGCAGGGGCCAGGCCTGTGCAGTCGCCCGTGGGGACCGAGGGGCCGGGGTGCCGGCGGAGCGCAGTTCGCAGCCCCGCTTCTGGGCTGTTACAGCCCTTCGGCCTTTGGCTCGCTGCTTGTAAGGTGAAGGTCCTATTCATTCAGGTGGAGAATTGCCTGACAATTGAATTTTTTTGTTATTAGTCTTCTCCTATAAATCTCATTGTAACTAATTCTAACTTTAAAAAAAAGATGGGTGTCAAAAAAAAAAAAAAAAAAGCTGGGTGTCTTTGATGCTGCCTAGGGCTGCTTCGTGAGGACACAGGTGAGCTCTTCCCTTCTCCCCAAGGACCGTAAAAGAATGGGCCACGTTTCCGTATTTTGAGACTCTTTTAGTAAAACAGACTTTTTTTCTCTCATTTATTCGTTATTGGATTTAAATTTACACATGGTGAGATGTACAGTTGAAGTTTTGAGAGACGTGCTCCCAGTGTAACCACCGCCCAATCAAGACTGACCACATTCACCAACTTTTTTTGGTTTTTTGGCTGTGTGGGGTCTTCATTGCAGCGCGTGGCTTTCTCCAGTTGCAGCTACTGGGCTCTAGGCGCGCGGGCTTCAGTAGTTGTGGCGCACGGGCTCTAGAGCGCAGGCTCAGTAGTTGTGGCGCACGGGCTTAGTTGCTCCGCGGCATGTGGGATCTTCTCTGACCAGGGCTTGAACCTGTGTCCCCTGCTTTGGCAGGCAGATTCCTAACCACTGCGCCACCAGGGAAGTCCACCACCAACTATTTTTAATTTTAACAATTCAATTATCTCTTATTTTTTTCCTACGCCCCCCCCCCCAGATTTCTGGAATATTCCTTACTAATCACATAAAGTGGGTTGGATGTCAAGGAAGCCGACCAGAGCTGAGGGGCTACACGTGTTCTCTGTGGAAATTGTTCCACACTTTGACTGTTCGAGCTGGGACCCATCCAAAAGCGCTGGACGGCACAGGTGAGCTGTCCCCACCTGGGCCACCCGACACGGGTGCTGCGCTCCTGCCTGCCGGGGCCGTCCCAAGCTCACGCAGAGGGTGACGTGCCTTCAGGGTGCCCGGAGGGTACCCTCTAAGGAGGGTGGAGGTGAGCATCTTTTCTGGAGGTCTGCTCAGCCCCTGTGCCGGCTCGGGATGCCGGAGCCCGAGTCCCCACCCTCTTCCCTCACGGCCAGTGCCTGGCTGACCCTTGGGACGTGAGTCGTGGGCGGGGTGAGGGAGTGCTGGCCAGGAACGCCTCTCGGTGTCAGCGCCTCTTTCTTTGCTTTAAAGAACACGAGAGTAAATGAAACACATTTGGAGAAGCGTATGGTTACCTGTTGTTTCTAACAAGTCACCTGGAGCAGCGCACACTCCTTATCTCACGGCGTCTGTGGGGGCGGGTGCTCAGTTGTGGCCTGACCAGGGTCTTCGGCTTCGGGTCTCCCAGAGCCTGGGCGCAGAGTGCTGGCCCGGGACAGTGGGGAAGAGAGGAAGAGACACCCTCCCCACACTTGTGCCCCACATGGGGGGCTATCCTTTCTCACTGTGTGGCCTCCCCATAGGCAGCCGGCTTCATCGGGGCCCTCGGTGGTGTTAAGTCCGTCACCTCTGCCATGTTTGTTCGTTAGAAGTGAGCCAGTAGGCCCACGAGGGTAGGCGATGACACAGACGTGGCTACAGGAGGTGGGGCCACGTTTATATCCCATGCAAAGCGCTAAAAAACGTGTTGGATTTTTGGATCCTTTCGGGACTGCGTTGTGTGTGTGCCTCTCAGTTTAAGCAGGCCCCTGACAGCCATGGGAATATCTGCTTTTAGTTCTTTATTTTATTTTATTATTTATTATTTATTTATTGGCTGCGTTGGGTCTTCGTTGCTGCGCGCGGACTTTCTCTAGCTGTGGCGAGCAGGGGCTACTCTTCGTTGCAGTGCGTGAGCTTCTCATTCCGGTGGCTTCTCTTGTTGCAGAGCACGGGCTCTAGGCGTGCGGGCTTCAGTAGCTGTGGCACGCAGGCTCAGTTGTTGTGGCTCTAGAGCGCAGGCTCAGTAGTTGTGGTGCACGGGCTTAGTTGCTCCACGGCCCATGGGATCTTCCTGGACCAGGGCTCAAACCCGTGTCCCCCACATTGGCAGGCGGATTCTTAACCACTGCGCCACCAGGGAAGTCCTAGTTTTGTTTTTTTAATCATTCAGGTTCACTGACGTCTGTATTAAGTCAAAGTGAAGTTTTGGGACCCACACCGTCCAAATATTCTTTCCAGTAAAATTGTAAAATTCTTTTAGAGTTACCTTTTGCTGTGTAACAAACGAACCCCAGACGCCGTGGCTTAAAACACCCACCAGGTTTTTGCTCATGGCTCTGGGGCTCGGCTCTTTGGACGGGCTCACCTGTGGCCTCGCTCAGGTGGCGGCGGCTGACTGGTCTAGACCCAGGAGGTCGAGCTCCCAGGCAGTGCCAGCTCCCCACGGGGCATCGCCACATCCGGGAGGGGCCTTGGGGTCTGGGCATCACTTCCGCCACAGCCTGTTGCTCAGACAGGCCTCATCCAGCCCAGGTTCACGGTGGGGACATGAAGGCCACCTGTCGGGGAGAAGCAGCAGAGGGGCATGTGGCGTCTGCAGACATCGCTACCACCCCCGGCCCTGCTCCAGGTGACGCTGGATTTCTACTTTTCCGGGGTCTAGTGGGAGAGGTGGGCTTTCAATCGAAAATTCTAAGAATCACACAGCAGAACACGTAGGGTGTGTTCAGGAGAAAGCTCGGGAGCCCAACAGCAGGTGAGATCAGAGCCTCAGCGCTGCCTGGCGGGACGCTGGCCGCGGCGTTGGAGCCCACGTCTGAGACGTGAGCCTCAGTTGTGGGGAAAGTTCTGCTGAGAACAGGGCGACATGTTGAAGGAGGTGGGGACAGCAGGGAGGAGGTCATCGCCGGGACGCTCTGTAAAATCCCGCAGAACCGATGCCGGCAGAATGAGGGCAGCGGGATGACAAAGCACACAGAGAGGTCTTGAGCATGCTTTCTCCTCGTCGCGTAAATTGAAGCAATATCCCAGGAGTCTGTCTCACGCCGAAAGAATTGGGTCAGACTGAGACCCGGATTATGTCTTGGAAGGTTTTTCCCCTCCTTACTGCATGCTTAAACCCCATCGACTGAAAAGCCTGCCGCGGCCTCTAATCCCCCACAGGTAGGGGTTTAGGTTCTTGTCCACTTTAAAGATTAGGGTGGCCCGAGCATGCAGTGGGTCGGTGGGGGCGCGGGAAGGAGGATTACCCCGCCAGCCGCGGCAGATGCCAGCCACAGGCCCGCAGCTGGGACAGCAGCACCCGGCCGACAGTGAGGCCGCAGCGTGTGCACGTGGCCTCGGGGCTGGGTGCCCCCTGGCTGCCCTGGGAAACACTGGGAGCCCGGGGCAGGTGGCGGGGTGCGGCTTCGGGCCTTCTCTGAGTGACACGAGCAGGACTCCCGAGGCTGACAGCCCACGAGGCCTCTCCGGGCGGGTCCAGCTTCCCGGGTCCAGCTTCCCGGGCGTCAGGACCGCACCGGCCACAGAGAGAGACGGCTCGTGAGGGCTGCCGTTAAGATGGACTCAGCCTCCAAAACCATGTCTTCTTTCTTTCCAATTATTTTGCTGGATTTCTTTTAATGCTGACATTTAATCTGTTTTAATCTCACAGTCTCTTATTCGTATGCCCAATCCCCCGTATTAGTTGTCTGGACAGGACTCTGGTCCAGCCCTGTGCTGCTGCCCCTCTGCCGTCCTCAGGGGTCCTCCTTTCAGCGCACTGCAGGCTGCGTCGTCCTGCTCTTGGGGGCATTGCTTTCTTCAGACATCGTGGCCCTCGCTCCCAGGGCCTTTACTCGGCACCCGTTGTCCTCCTGTTAGGGTCTGTGTTTACACCCAGTGGTGAAAAACGTCTGTGTGGCTGGTAGATGCTGGAGGATTTCCTCACACAGAGAGGCTCGGCCTCTTTGAAAGAGTGCAGACCTTCACCAGTCTGCCACCCTGTCGCTCCCAGAGGGAGCCCCAGCAGCTGACCAGCCCGTGACCGTCGCTGCCCCTTTCGTGGAAGATCCGCCACAGGGCAGGCCTGGCAGCAAGCCCGGAGGCTCTTCCTAAGGCCTGGTTTGTATTTGGGCTTGTGTTCCGCAAGGATTCCAAAGCAAAACAACTGCAAATTTCGAATGAGTGGCTGCCACGGCCCCGGCAGAAGCCTCTGGGGTTGTTTGTAGGGCAGGAAAAGTTGCACATGGGACTCAAGCCTGGGGCAAGCCCGGACCTCTGGGCGTGGGGCTAGGGGCTCCTCGCCGACCTAATAGCTCCAGGCCTCTGGCTCGTTCTCCTGAGGGCCAGCGCACGTCCTGGAGTGGCTCCGGCAGCTGGACACAGGCGGCCATCTGCTCTTGGGTTGCACGCATCTGGCACAGTGTCGAGGCAGCAAGCAGCCATCTTGCGGTCGTGGTGGGCATCTGGGAAGGAGCTGGTTTCTTCCCGTGCCCATGCGAGGACCCAGGGGGCTGGCCCATGGCCTGTATCAGGCACTCAGCTCGTCCCTGGCTCCCCCGATGCCACCCCAGGCCCTGCGGTTCTAGTGGAAATAGTCCGACACGCTTTGGTCCCTCCGCAGGTTTTGAAGACGACCCCCAGGCAGTGCTGCAGACCATCAGGAGGTACGTTCACATCTTCTTTGGGTGTAAGGAATGCGGTGAGCATTTTGAGGAAATGGCTAAAGAATCGATGGAGTCCGTGAAAACCCCGGACCAGGCAATTCTCTGGCTTTGGAAGAAGCATAACGTGGTCAACAGCCGCTTGGCAGGTGAGCAGAAGCCACTCCGCGTGGCCTGTGCCTGGGTGCGGAGCCCGAGCTGTGGGTGGCAGGGATGGCACCTGAGCTTCGCCACCACTCTGCCTGCCCGCGGGGCTCACGGCCGGGTCGTATGCCCTGACCAGATGTCAGTTTCCTGGTGACATTGGCCAGGGAGCTGCCAGTCCCTGGCTTTCCAGATTGTTCTCTCACTGCAGGGCTCCCGGGCTGCATGGAAATGGAAACGTCTTTTCCCCTCGGTAGCCCGCTAGGCCCCTGAGTAAATTTGACAGTGGAAGACTTGGAATATAATTAATTTTCAGTAAGGAAAATTTTAGCGTCGTTAAAACCTGCTCTCAGACCGTAGACCAAACTCCTCGGGGTGGTTTTGTTTAAAAAAAACTAGGGCCCGTGTATTTTCTCAGAGTTAAGTAATTCAAACTGCTCCTAAATCAATGGTAGATTAAAATTAGGCTTAAAAATAATCCACTGAGAAATAAATCTTAACAGAGATGAATAGAAAATGCCACTAAACTATTGGTTTTTATTTAATCCACTGTATCATAAAAACATCTTACAGCTAAAGCACTAAAGAGAATTGGTTTTCCTTTGGACTCGGAGCTGACCGCTGCGGCTCCAGTCACGTGGCCGCGGCCGCTCATGTTGGCCGGGTTTGTCCTTTGCCTTCAGCTGCAGGTGAAGGCACTTCCGCTGCGGCCCTGGTACAGACGGCTCCACGACCAGGGTGTCAGTCTGCCTGCCCTCTCAGGGGGCGCGTGGTGACCCCGTCCCGGCAGCGCTCAGCCCCAGAGCAGCCGGCGAGACTCCAGCCAGGCTGCCATGTCTGGGCGCCGCCTTGTGCCCCACAAGATGCTGTGCCAGAAAGGTGCCTGTGGTCATGTGGTTCCTTAGACTCCACGTGTCCCCCCAGCCCCCTTGGTCCCGGCTCTGGCCTCTGGGTTGAGGTCCAGGCAGTGCTGCGCCGGACACACTCTGGCATCTCCTCCCGTCTCGGGGTGTGAATCCAAACCCCCCGCTGGACGCAGACCGCAAAGGGGCACGCCCAGGCCCTGAGTGGTGTGCGTTTCCCTCCAGCTTCTGCCCAGCCGCGGCCCGTCGTGCGCACAGTGAGCGGGCCGGAGGAGGGCGCCTCCGCCGAGTCAGGAGGCCCACAGGCTGACCGATTCCCTTTACGCGCGCTTCTGGAAGCACTCTGAGGTGGCGAGGCAGCCCCAAGTCAGGTCGGCGAGTTCCAGGAGCCCGGGGAGCCACAGGCCACGCTTGCTGTCAGCGGGGCCTGTGGGAGCCGGGGATCCAGGGCTGTCACAGGGTCGCAAGTGGAAGAGAAACAGGAGTTTGGAAGTGCAGCTGCGAGTGCGGGGGCTTCGTGGCTCTGCCTCGAGGGCTTTTGCCCCCCAGTCATTGGCTGACAGCCCAGGCAGCGCTCTGCCCAAGGGTGTTGAACGAGGGAGCGAGGGAGGTCATGGGAGAGGGTCCCCTCGGCCAGTCCACATGCTGAGGGAGCACCTTGAGGGCAGGGAGGACAGCGGAGGTGGGGGCCCCTCGAGCAGGGCTGCGAGGTCAAGGGCGTGGAGCTGGGAACTTGCCCGCCGGCTTGGGGGTTTGGGGCGGGGTTTGGCCAGGTGAGTGGTGGTACCTGAGTGTGGACGGCTCCCTGTGCCATGGGCCGGGAATCCACCAGAGGGCGCGAGGGAGGACGCGCGGTGCTGTGCCGGCAGCCCTGCAGGGAGGGCGGGTGGGAGGGGAGCGTCGTCTGGACCCCACTGGACGGTGGCAGTGGAGGCCGTGGAGGGAGAGGGCGGTAGTGGGCAGGCAGGAGGCACGGGGGCCCGCAGCGCTGGGGTGGGCAGTCAGGTGGCCGGGAGGCCTCTTCACGGTGGCCCTTCCTCCTCACAGGCCACCCGAGTGAGGACCCCAAGTTCCCAAAGGTTCCATGGCCCACTCCGGACCTCTGCCCGGCCTGCCACGAGGAGATCAAGGGCCTGACCAGCTGGAACGAAGGCCAGGTGCTCCTGTTCTTGAAGCGGCACTACGGCAGCGACAACCTCGAGGACACGTACTCCTCGGACTTGGGAGACGCCGGTGAAGGCGCCCCGGCCACGGGCGCGGAGCGGGCGGGGGGCCACGCTTCCCCAGGGCAGCCGCCCGCAGACCAAGGTGCCAAGAGTCTCCGTCCCCCCGGCATGCTGCCCCCCAGGCCTCGCCTGTCAGAGAGGTCGCACCAGGGGCTGGACGTGAAGCTCGGGAGTCTGCGCGGGGCCGAGGGCCGCCGGGGGGCAGGGGCGGCCTTCCTGGGGACGGGCTTCTCCAGCCTGGACATGAGCCTGTGCGTCGCGCTCTACGTGGCCTCGTCCTTGTTCCTCATGCTGATGTGCTGCTTCTTCCGGGTGCGGTCCAAGCGGTGGAAGGTCAGGCACCACCACCCGGCCGTGTAGGGCTCAGCGAGACCATGGAACCGCCTTCAGGAAGCCTGCAGCTTTAATCTTCAGATCAGGGATTCGGTCAACACGTCGGACCTGGTATCGCCTTGATGGCGCTCTCCGCTCCCCCACGTGCTCTCCCTGCAGGGGACGCACCCGGCACGTGGCAAGACGGTTTGCACTCCTGGAACCCTCAGGTGGCGCCTTGCACAGATCCTAGAGCGGAAAGCCTTGTCTGCTTTTACTCTTCCGGGTCTGAAAACAGAAGTGGGGAGGCCAGGCCCCATGAACAGAGCTTCGCCACCCGCTTTCACCTCGAGTTGCTAGACTGCAAGGCCTCGCTCTGGAATCTGGAGAAAACTCACTCCCTTCCCTCCTCCCCCGCCCCCCACCCCGGGGCCTCCGGACGCCTCCCCTTCCCGCTGCTCCGAGAAGCCAGTGTTCTCAGTGGTTCGCTCGTGTTTGTGCTTTTCAGCTGCTTGGTTGTTTCTGCTTGAAGCAAGAGAACATCTCCGGGGCGCCAAGGCAGCTCAGGACCGGGGAAGGGAAGCCCCCTTAGTCAGTCGTCCCAGGCTCTGCAGACGTGGAGATGAGAGGGTGGAGGGGAAGGGGGGCCGGTGGGTTTGTGGGGCAGGGTTGTGCCCTTCTAGTCTTCAGGGGCATCGTCTGTTCTTATTAATCTGGTGACCAGAGGCTGTAAGCGAATCCCAGTCTGCGTCCACTGTAGGAGGGGAGGGCCTTTGGGGACGGGGCTGCTCTTCAGGATCTCTGAAGAGATCCTGTGTCGTCATCCTCCAGCACCTGCAAGTCCCCGTGAGAACCTAGGGCTCAGAGTGAGGGAGCCGGTGGCACGCCCGCGGCAGACTGTGGTCTGGGCCAAACTTCATTTGCCTGAGGCTGTTTCACCATGGGTCCTGGTGCAGGACCCCAGTGCCCCAGGCTTCGATGATTAATTTTCTAACATTGAATGGTTTTAACACATTATTTGTGAAACCCAAAACATTTAGAAGTAAATTTGCCTCTGAAAATGTCAACAAAGAAACAGAACAAACTATGGCAGGGAACATTTCCTTTGAGATCCTTTGTGGCTTTGTTGGTTTGTCTCACAGGCTCAGATGTATCCATGTGTGCGCACGCGCGCGCGCGTGTGTGTGTGACTACGATGGTTGTAACAGTGTTTCCTACTCTGCCTGTTCCACACTCCAGTTGTGTGTTCACTAAGTACCGTTGACCGTGTGACCATGTAACGCTGATGTGACCGTTGCAGCTTAGGGAGAATAGGCGGCTGATTTCTTGAACAACTCTCATGAGCTTCGTGGTCCCCTTCAGTGGGAGGCGTGGTCTGGAGGCCTCTGGGCAGGAACCTGCTCCTGCACTTCTCCGCCGTGAGAGGTTTCTTCTTGTTTCACCCTTTTTTAACCCCTGGGAGCCTTTGTGTTTTAAAAGCCAGGAGCTCGTCTTCATGGCTAAGTTGTGTGCCTGGGTTACCGAAGACACCTGTTGTTTCTTTTCAACTTGAAAACCGGGCAGATTTACAGAGAACCCAAAGGGAAACACTTAGAACCGTTCATTAAACTGCCTTCTGGTTCGTATTGAATGTCTTTTTCTCCCTAAAGGAAGTTTCTTTCGACAGTGGGAACTGGGTGATGTTGCAAGTGTACCATCTTGTGTACTTTACAGAACCTAGCTGAAGGGCGACGCTGGCTTCCGCGGTTTGTAATAATGCTGCAGCGTGAGGGGCAGTGGGTCAGGGAGAGGACATGCCAAGGTGGCCCACGGGCGCTGTGTCCCGTCGCTGATCAGAACTGGACGCTCCCTCTAGGCAAGGGTTAAGTTCTGTTTTCTGAAGTTGTAAGTATTGAGACTAATGAATATAAGAGTTCGGTAATTTAAATGTATATTTATTTTTAATGGAAGGATTTTGATTCAAAAGAAGCTAATGGACATGGGAATGTCGGCGAAATTTCTTACCTGTAAGGAAAATGAACATTTTGTATTTAAGTAAACTATAATGTGCACATTTTAAGAATAAAGAAATTCAATGTTTGAAAACATTGTAATTCTTTTGAAGTGAGAGCTAGCTCTGTGAGGGGTGCGGTGTCGGGTGGGAGCGCCACACGAAGCCGCCTCTCCCTTCTCGGGTGTATGGACGGGACGTCTGAAATCCCAGAATTCACTGTATTGAACCAGAGGCTTTTGGGAAGATGGCCCAAGGGTCAGGTGGAAGGTGAAAGATGAGAGATCGACGATAAATGATAGATGGTCTTCTTGGAGCCGAGCTAGACCGAATGGGCTCAGGACAGCACCCTTCCTCCCACGAGAGGGGAGATGGGATGGTGACTGCGATGGGTGTAAATCCTACTCACAAGGCACCAGAGAGGCCCCCCGCCGCCAGGTGAGGGAGCTGCCAGACCTCGGCTTTCCCTGGGCACCACTCTCCTGGGCCACCCCACTCCTGCCAGGCCTGAATGCCCAGCATCGCAGTCGGCCACCAGGTTTGCCTCATGCCCACGGCTTTGCCCCAACACCTGTTTGCTGCCTCCGGTTCTGAACTGTTTTTTAAGTTGTTTTATTTATTTATTTATTTTTGGCTGCGTTGGGTCTTCGTTGCTGCGCGTGGACTTTCTCTACTTGTGGCGAGCGGGGGCTACTCTTCGTTGCGGTGCGTGGGCTTCTCATTGCAGTGGCTTCTCTTGTTGCGGAGCACGGGCTCTAGGTGTGTGGGCTTCGGTAGTTGTGGCTTGAGGGCTCCGGAGCACAGGCTCAGTAGTTGTGGTGCACGGGCTCAGTTGCTCCGCGGCATGTGGGATCCTCCCGGACCAGGGCTCGAACCCGTGTCCCCTGCATCGGCAGGTGGATTCTTAACCACTGCGCCACCAGGGAAGCCCCTGTGAACTATTTTGATTTCTTCTCCCGCCTCCCCCCACCTTGTTTTGGTCGAGTGTGGCTTCAGGGGAGTTCTCTTGGATGCGGTTTCTGTGAATTCACCTTCCCAGCCGGTCTGTGCCCCCGTCCGGAAAGGGCACAGGCAGCCACTGGCACTGAGTGACCGGCGGGCACCCTGCCCCCCAGCCCGGTCTGCGTGGTGCCGGTGTAGGCTTACCATCGGGTAACCCCTGTCACCCAGGGTCTTGGCGCTCACGGCTCTTGGGTCCTTCTGTCTGAGTAGTTTCTGTTGGGGGCGCCCCGGCTGCCCTTCCTCCCCACTGCCCTGGGGGAGTGGGAGGGGGCTGTGGCCTGAGACCCGGGGGCATTGCGTGTTGGGGCGGTCGGGCCTGCAGAAAGTTCCTCCCGCCTAAAGCAACCGTTGAACGGGGCAGCACCTGGAGCTAGAGCCTCAGTAGGAGCCTGTCTGGAGGCTGATGGGGCTGGAGAGCCCTAGGCCTGGGCGCTGCCTTCCAGGAGGCCGGGAGCAGGAACGGCAGGGTGGAGCACCCGCTTGGGGCGAATCCCCAGCCCTCGGGCCGGCCTGGAGCTCAGGGCGCGGCCGGCTGCCGCTGCCGCCCAGGCCTGGCAGCGGCAGGCCGAGGGACCGGGGACCGGGGAAGGGGGGCAGCGGGCGGGGGCGGGGAAGGGGGGCGGCTGCGCGCCTCCTTCAGCACCGCGGACAGCGCCCGGCCCAGAAGCTCCTGCGTCTGGCCGCTCTGCGCGCACAGGGACGCGGGGAGGGCCGAACCTTCCCGGCGGGGGCGGGGGTCGCAGAGGAGGAGGAAGGAGCGCTGCCCGCACCACTTGGGCCCGGCCTGGCCCCGCGGCCGCGATGCTGCTGGAAACGGATCTCGAGGGCGACCGAGATCGGCCCGGGGCCCCCGCAGCCGCCGCTCTCTGCACCTTCAGCGGGACCGGGGGTAAGAGCCCCGCCTGCCCGCAGCCTCCAACCTGGGCAGGAAGAGCCGGAGGGAAAACGGCAGGGTCGGCAGAGGCAAACAGGGACAGCGGGGAGAAATGGGTGCAGCACACCAAGGGCAGCGAGGGAA